ACAGATTGATCCTCTCACATAAACCCTCCATTGTAATGTAAGTACGAGTAGGTATCTTCTATGTAGTATCAGAATTTACTAATACCATGGTGGCGGTGCTGTTATGTTAGCAGACTCGTGAAAAACGTTTTACATAAAACAACAGAGCGGCAGCTTTTTCCGTGCCTTAAAACAACAAAAGATTTTAAAATTCCAGGTTTTTTCGTGTTAGCATTGCATTCCCCTTGTTCGCATAGGAATTGTGGGAGAGTGGGTGCTAAAATATGCATATTTGTCCGTGACGTGCCTGTTCTCGTCCATGCGTTTGTACAGGCGACATGCTCAATATTGTGGAATTTTACGTAGTAGTAGCTAGTAGGGGTTAATTACTTATTTTGCAATTAAATGTATGGTCCGACTTGCTGTTGACTGGTATAACAACAATTAAGTAAGTTAAAACTAATTAAAGATAATTATTAATAGCAAAAGCTTGCAATTGCAAATTTTCAAGTAATTAATTGTACCTACTTCTTTAGACTACGAGTAAGTATAATAGCAGTCTATTACTGCTGGACATAGCATTGGCCTCGCCCAGAACGCGTCTTTTTCCAAGTCTTCGGCTTGTCGCATCTAACATCTACCACTGACCTTTTGCATTTCTTAAGTTCACATTTCCCGATGTATCTTTTTTCCTAAACAAACCAAAAGACTTAAGACTAATGCATATTCTGTTTATTTCTCTGTTCTGAGTGCTTTCAGGGATTATGCCTTGCGCTGCAATGTTAGCAAACTGATGCTACATTTGCATTATGTAGGTATGTGCACGATGAGTCGGATATGGAGCATAATTACCTGGAGGCAGCCTTTGCGAGGCTTAAAACATTAATCCTTGTTCTACATACAGCGCTTTCAAGCAAACAATCGTAATGCTTCTCTTGTTCATTCAGATTATGCTTACAGTTATGTGAAACTATTTCCAATAGAAATATATTTTTTATACAACTTATTACAAGTAAGTATATTTTATGTAACGTTTTGCAAAATGATATTATTATGAACAAACTTTAAATTCATGACACTTTTGGTAGGTACTTAGTTTGATACTAATTATAATAGTCGTTCTACTGTTTGGTACTCTATTTATACGTGGCGAAACTATCACTTAAGTAGAGTAAAGAAATGAATTATTACGAGAAGGTAGATAAACTTATTACCTTGACGTACCTATTTAGTGTACCGCCGGGAAATCTTAATTTATTTCACCTCTATGTACCTACCTCTTTATCGATAAAGTGAATTGATATTGGAATAGGTACTCTACTAAAATGTAGGTAGACCATGACCCTATCTTATTTTTTGATTAAGCAAGATTAATTCAGTCCCTTGCTGCTCTTCGTCAACCTTTGTGGATCTTGGTTTCGATTCACAATATAACATACTAATTACTAACTACCTACTTTAATAATCAAGTCAATAAGTGGTGTCGCCTACGCTACACACACAAGAAAGAAAATAATACACAAAAAAGGCGAGTAAAATTTAGGCAGTCTTATCGTTATAAAGCGATCTCTTCCAGACAACGAACAGAAAGATTATAATAAAATTATTTTAGGGGCATAGCCCGGAAAATAAATCTACTTTACTATGTGAGTATTCGTTTTGCACGGATTGAACACGATTGAAACTGCCTCCGATATGATTCCAGTTTTATGTTGACCTTTCGAATCGCAACTTAGCGTGATTGCTATGGATCGAGCCTGTTCGATATGTCTATTAACTTTCAGAGCTATACAAATTGAACGTTGGAAATTCATCAATTTGAATTGAACTGCCTTATACCTATTTACTCGTATTATTCAATAAAAACTCGTTTCATGATAAAATACTTCGGTTTCAACGAATATCAGTCTGAAATTATTTTCTCAAATCTTATAACCGCGACCTGCGTTCAGCGGAAATTTCAGTTAGTTACCTTTATATCTACGTGTAATCTAAAGAGCTTTAAGAAGCTTATTATTTCAAACTTATTTCTAAAATGAACTCTGTGGCTTATTACTTATGAGTACTTGGATATTTCTACCCTATCTCATGAAAGAAAGTTACGATACGTCGTTACTTTACTAATCTTTTTTACCAAGGATGCAACTAGTAAAAGTGCTTTTTAAACGCCCATTTGCAAAAATAAATGAGTTTTATGAGTTTTTTTTAACTTAGCACTGGACCAAAACTGTGTTGGTACTCCACTCTTCAGTTTTCAAAAGCTTAGTGCACTCTGACCTTGGAGGCATCAGTAGAGGGGACAGACATCTCGGAGGCAGGTGTCGAGGACTGGAAGGCGTGGGTGAGTCAGCGAGGCAAGCCAGCGAGCCGTGGGCCAGGGGCGCGGCGCGGACGTCCAGGGAGCGACCGAGACCTTGGCACTCCAGTAGCTCCTGCCTCAAAGATGCGGCCGTCTGGGGCGAACGCATAACCTACGAACTCTTACCTTGGAGGCATCAGCAGAGGGGAGAGACATCTTGGAGGCAGGTGCCGAGGACTGGAAGGCGTGGGTGAGTCAGCGAGGGAAGCCAGCGAGCCGTGGGCGAGGGGCGCGGTGCGGATGTCCAGGGAGCGACCGAGACCTTGGCACTCCAGTAGCTCCTGCCTCAAAGATGCGGCCGTCTAGGGCGAACGCATAACCTACGAGCTCTTACCTTGGAGGCATCAGCAAAGGGGAGAGACATCTCGGAGGCAGGTGCCGAGGACTGGAAGGCGTGGGTGAGTCAGCGAGGGAAGCCAGCGAGCCGTGGGCCAGGGGCGCAGCGCGGACGTCCAGGGAGGCCGCTCGGAGGAGCGAAGATCTTGGAACTCTAGTTGATCCTGCCTCCAAGATGCGGCCGTCTGGGGCGAACGCATAACCTTTAAGGAGCTCTTACCTTGGAGGCATCAGCAGAGGGGACAGACATCTCGGAGGCAGGTGCCGAGGACTGGAAGGCGTGGGTGAGTCAGCGAGGGAAGCCAGCGAGCCGTGGGCCAGGGGCGCGGCGCGGACGTCCAGGGAGCGACCGAGACCTTGGCACTCCAGTAGCTCCTGCCTCAAAGATGCGGCCATCTGGGGCGAACGCATAACCTACGAGCTCTTACCTTCGACGCATCAGCAGNCAGTTTTAAGAGCCACACAACTTTCAGTTTGGAAGTTGTGTGGTGTCAAACCTAGACCGTTTTATTTATAGCTTATTATAACTGTCGCCCTTTTAGACAGCCGGCTGGTGTCAAGGGTCTCCAAGCAAGCCCCTTGCGCTTAGAGTCATTAGAATGAAACATCACACTGTAGATATTTTTACTTTTCAGACTAGTCAAGACAGAGATATAGGTAGGTACAGAAAAAAATTCTACAACGTAAACTTGGCTTGGCTTCGTAGTCTCTCCCATTTTTTTGCTTGTAGCTTCCAAATTCAATTCAATTCCAAAAATTGAAAGATTTTTCCTTTTATTTCTTCTTGGCATCATGATATTTCTACTAAAATAGAGAAAATCAAATCTTATAATATGACATTTCTTCTGTAAAGTACAGGCACTGCTTGCTCTAATTCAAAGTGAGGTTTTATAGCAGGCAATTAAGCTAGCCGTAACGAGGATTTTATTGAAGCTTTAACGTTTGTTCTTGAATGACGTCACAAACACATACCCATGTTTCTATATAAAGTTTCTACTTTTAGATAAAAAGATATTAATGATATTCCGAGTATTCTCTTGGAACTACATATTCATTAGGACTGTCTATAGTTTTTTAAAGTCTTTTACTAGTTTTGTATCATGTACAAATGTTGTGCTTGGCTGTAGGATGCTGTTGAAGATTTTGTGTCAAATGTATTTTTTAATAAACAAGTCGTTTACTGTATATGCGCGTCCACTGTTAGCTTTTGTTAACACTAATCTATCAGATGCAAGAAATACACGTAGAAAAAGGTGCAATCCGCCTTGGTATTTTATTGACGTGTTGTTCTTCGTACTTACATGCATACATATTTATTAGTTATTGATTGTACTGGTTATTAATATTCATAAACTCAATACGGCACCGCTAACACGGCGCTTCGGGGCCTTGTAAGTTATTTGTGATTGTGTGACCTTTTCAGTACCTATTATTACTTTCCATCAAATGTAGGTAATAAGGTTTCAAGAAATAATCAAGAATAAATAAATAAAAATACGAACATTGATAAATTTAGTACCTAATTTTGATTTCACTATTCCTTGAAGTCTAATTTTTTAGAAATCAGCAGAAATGTCATCAAAAATGGCCAACTGACATAAAAATATTTTTAGTCTGTGAACTAGTGATGCGACAAAACCTCTCGTTAATCGCGAAGTGAAATTATTGTAGTACTTGCGTATCATCGCCGGGTGATCGTCAAAATACTAAAAATATGCAACAAAGTCGCAACATCTCGTCGCAACAAAGTCGCATCATCATCAACTCGAAAATTTCATAATCAGTTCACATTTAGAACTGATTATGAAATTTTCGAGAACAGGAAACAAACTGTATGCACAGATGTAATCAAAAAACACACTGGACAGTAAAACAATCAATGATATCCGTAAAGTTATTAAACTTCAAATAGTTGCAAAAAGACATCTCGGAGGCAGGTGCCGAGGACTGGAAGGCGTGGGTGAGTCAGCGAGGGAAGCCAGCGAGCCGTGGGCCAGGGGCGCGGCGCGGACGTCCAGGGAGGCCGCTCGGAGCGGCGAAGGAGATCTTGGCACTCCGGTTGATCCTGCCTCAAAGATGCGGCCGTCTGGGGCGAACGCATAACCTACGAACTCTTACCTTGGAGGCATCAGCAGAGGGGAGAGACATCTCGGAGGCAGGTGCCGAGGACTGGAAGGCGTGGGTGAGTCAGCGAGGGAAGCCAGCGAGCCATGGGCCAGGGGCGCGGTGCGGACGCCCAGCGAGAGACCGAGACCTTGGCACTCCAGTAGCTCCTGCCTCAAAGATGCGGCCGTCTGGGGCGAACGCATAACCTACGAGCTCTTACCTTGGAGGCATCAGCAGAGGGGAGAGACATCTCGGAGGCAGGTGCCGAGGACTGGAAGGCGTGGGTGAGTCAGCGAGGGAAGCCAGCGAGCCGTGGGCCAGGGGCGCGGCGCGGACGTCCAGGGAGGCCGCTCGGAGTGGCGAAGGAGATCTTGGCACTCCGGTGGATCCTGCCTCCAAGGTACGGCCGTCTGGAGCGAAGGTTCGGATGGCAGGCGACGAGCCGCGGTGACTCTGGGAAAGAAATTTTATACAGTGTTTAGATACGATTAAGTTTTAGTTTTGTCTGAAAAATCCTAGTAGTTCAGTCGACATATCAGGTAAAAAGTGCATCAGGTGGTACGGACATGACGACAACATGAAGGTAAACACCGTCGTATCTTATTTAGTCAAAAGTTATTGAGCTATGAACTCAATACGCTATACGGAATTATAAGAAACACTTCAAAAATGTCATTTTTATCAATCAATAGAGGTTTAAAACTTACCAACCAAGGGACTCGAAAATATGCAAGAACTGCTAATATATTCGATTTAATTAATGCAAGCCTTTTAACAAGTACGCTAACCAGGGTATTCATGGTGGGTTGGCTAATAATTTGCTCAGCTCAGCGGGGCCTGCATAAAACATACTGCTTGGAAAGTCCACGGCATAATTTACCGGGCCCTAACTCTCTACAATAACTACGGATAAGTTCTTTCAGGGGCTCTGACGTTACGTGACTGTTCGGTGGTCTGATAATGTATATTGTTGGAATCTAAAGTGGAATTTAATGTCGGATTTGCGACACGAGAGCGTTGAACCAAGTGCCAACTCCTGTCGCGTGTAAAACGCACTTTGCTTGCGCTCAGTGCACGTACTAACTTGCCAGGAATATCAATGATGTTGGGAGTCCAGTTATAACTGACAGAGATTGACTTTTGAAAGGGAGTGAGGCAAATATTAGAATTGAGTAGTTGACACCACCATATCAGTTAGGTAATTGCTGTACTTTATATGAGCCATTAAAACGCGATTCCCACATGGATTTGGTGCAGTAATAGAAAGTGGTAAAGGTCAAGCCTTTACCAATTCCAATGAGTAACTACAAATATCGACTATGTATGGCCACGTGGCATGGCTGACTTAAAATAGCAATATATGAATGCTATTTCTCACCCATCATTACATGAAAGAAGCGAGACGAAATGTCTTCCTAACCAAGATACATTCCTTGATTGCAGTAGCTACTTATTTAATCTGCCTAATGCAAGCCTTTCAACAAGTAATGCCAACCTAGTTAGGTATTCGTGGGGATTAGCAATGATTTGCTAATAATGCTCAGTTTAAAATAGCTAATGTACAATCCACTTGCGATCACGTTCAATCAATACGGGTTAAGCTTTCATGAGGACCAAAACGGTAGGATTAATGAAATTAGTATTCTCGCTTAGGTTAGGTTATTCTGCGATAAGATGAAATCAAAGTGTTCAACACACTTTAATTTTGTTGAATTTAGTATACTTAGGCTGGGTTGCACCATCTTACTTTAACTTTGACAAACGTCAAAAATCTGTCAAACTCCATACAAAAAGCATCGGTTATCGTCATAGTTACCATGAAAGTTAGGTGGTGCAACTCAGACTTAGTGTTGAAATAATGTCATACTTGTAGATGTCATGCGGTCATGCCTACAAACAACGTAACTAAAAAACCATAAAAGTTTTCATCTGAAAGGAGATAATTGATTAAGCACTAGAAGTAAGGTACAAAGTCAAAGCCATACAAAGTCACAGCACAATGTCCATCGTGTAAATATGCTTACTTATCCAAAGCACAAAGTTCAAAATTGGCCAACCTAACTAAAAATCTTTCTATTTTACTGAATGCTAATGATGGGAAAATGTACAGGGCTCAAACAATGTACTTTATGGCACTAATCCTTTTACATGGCCAATGTAAAGGATTTTCATTCTGATCGTGAATTTGCAAACTGCATACCGGATGAGGCTCCGGTCCCCTCATCGTACATTCTCTTTGGGTTACGAGTTGGCTATTGTGACAGCAAACGTAATGTCAAATGCCCAATATTAATGTTGGGAAAGCCGACGGTAGACTAACACTTTGTAGATTGGAATGTAATTTTTAAGTGGAATTGTAGGATTGTGAAACGGAATACGAGAAAGAGATAATTTTGAGTTAGTAAGTTAACTGTAAAGTATTAGTACCTACTTATTATATCTATTGGTTACCTAGTAGTATAGGATTTATGCCGTAATCTAAACTTATCTTTTCAATTTAAACAATCCTGGATTTTAAAAATAATTAAGAGTAATCATAACATATTAGTATGTTAACGTCTTTTAAAAATTGAAAGCATAAAAGCTTGCGGAAAATGTAACGGATTTGCAACTGCAGACTTGCCGAAAGCTCCAAAGTAGGTTTTGCGAATAAAACGGAAATTGTTTCCCCTGTTATGGGAAATGACATTTTCGTACCAAAAACGATTGATTTTGAATAAATACTTTTATCTTGAAGATGTCACTCACACTGGAGAAGATTATTATTAAACCTATTAATTTTGTAACATTTTGCCTCTACTCCAGAACCTTGCTGCCTCATCGGTCGCCAGTTCTGCGTACTATGGTGCCCTGTCGGAAACGGAAACTAAAATGTACCGCAGCGTAGGACGTCTACCCACAAAGTGGACCGACGACCTCATAAAGGTAGCAGGAAGGCGCTGGATGCAGGCCACACATTAGGGCAAGTGTGTTGTAGTACAAACTTTGAAATAGAAATATTGAGCAAAATTGTTTGACCCTTCTATACCAAAGTGGAGGGGTCTCCATACAAATCATTGCACTAAATTCGCTGCTAAAAGCCCTTTTAGTTGGCGATGAATAGACACTTACTGTAGCCCTGGAGGTGCCGCTGTCGAGGCTGCTCTGGGAGGATATGGAGGGAGTCCTGGCGAGCGGGAGAGAGCTGGCTGTGTTGTATCGAAAAATGGTATGAAGAGCGCAAAGTGGCGCAGATGCGTCAACGCGTGCGGGGTAGGTAAGCGTGCGCACGCCGCGGGTGTCGGACGACCGGAGTGAGCACCCGCGCTACTTTTAGGGTAGGCGCTTTAGTGTTAGGCTCTGAATAGACACTTACCGTAGCCCTTGAGGTGCCGCTGTCAAGGCTGCTCTGGGAGGATATGGAGGGAGTCCTGGCCAGCCTCGCGTGCGGGAGGGAGCTGGCCGTGCGCACCTCCGCAGGTGGTTGCACGCGGCACTGCTCTTTGGGTATCAGCATCTCCTGTGGAAGAAAATACCATTTAGAATGTATTTGATAGTTTTTGACTATGGCATTTAACACAGCGGCAACAACAAGGTGTATCATCATCATCATTTCAGCCACAGGACGTCCACTGTGATCATAAGCTTCTCCCAATGACTTCCACATCACCCCGGTTGGTAGCGGTCTGCATCCAGCGCCTTCCTGCTACCTTTATGAGGTCGTCGTCCTACCTTGTGGGAGGACAAGGTGTGTATTCATTATGCATATTGCATATAGGTACTCATTAACGCAATAAATGTAGTCGAATACCTATAGATTTTACAATTTGTGATACCTAGGCATAGATTCATAATTCCAAGTCCAAACTCTTGTGTACAATTGAAAATGAAACCGGGTCTTTCAGTGAAAAATGTAAGAGGCTTTGAAAATAGAGGCTTAATATCAATACGCGAGAAATACAATAGATTCCGACGCGCTGCGCCTTCGGATGGCTTCTCTACGACGCATTTCATCAACGTTTCAAGCAAAAATCCAATTTACAATATGGACAGTAATATTATTTAGTTATTACTTGTTGGGAACTCTTAAATAAGATATTTTGGCCAATTTATATGCCTCATAAACTGCGCATCGTAAAACCAGTTTTTATTCGGGTTTGTTTTATCACTGTCAATATATATTACTTTTCGCCGAACAGTTAGCTAATAGATTTTGCGGGTTTAAAAGATGCGGATAAGGAGTTTGGTCGTAATGTGCTCAAATGAGAATTATGGGTTCCCAAAGTTTATAGTTATCGTCTAATAATAATAAGTAAGCTTTAGTTTTTATCGCCATCTTCGGAAGAAACTGACTTTTCGCAATGGTCAGCTTAAGTTTTGGATAGTTTCAAGTCTTTTACGATCACAATTCTGTTATTTCTTTTATTTTACTAATGGTTGTTTGCGAATTCTTTTACGTGAAATCCATAAACGAATTTTATCAAAATCTAGGTAACACGTCTATAATAATGTTAGGAGGTTCATCAAATCCGTTCGAAACTTCCTTCGTGGACTTAAAAATAAAAACCGAAAAATTAAACTCTATGAATTGTGAATAAAATTCGTGTCAGACTATTCATGTGAACGAAGCCGCGGTCAGAAGTTAGTGTCCATAAAAGAGCCAACCCAAGCTCCAATTGAAGACAATAGTAAAAAGTTTGCTATTATTAAAACAGACGAAGCAGTATACGAATGCGCCATCTGTTTTGAATTTATCTATAAAATCCAGTCACCGAAACATCTCACGAGAGCCACTCGTATTTTACGATTCGCGAGCTCCTCTTTTTGCAGAATGCTCGGAGACGAAATAATGTTCTTATGAATAATTCCGCTTAGTTTATTCATATTTAATGCACGTACCTTAAGATGGAAATAGGCGATGCTAAATATTCATCTGCCGATTAAAGAGAATTGATAAATAGAAAAAGCGTCGTTTTGCAATCATTTTCATCATTATATGGAATCCATTTTTTGGTCCTTCCTCTCCTCGACTGAATTTATACATAGATCTGCTTCTGCTCTTCAAAATAGAATAACAGAATAATCACAAAACATTAATTTTACTAAGGTATTTTATTTTTATATGATATTGGTAAATTCTTAAATTCCGACTAAAGTAAAACATTATGGTCCATAACAGTATGATAGAGGTCAAGTCCAATACCATATTAAAGATTGTATCACGATTACATAGTCTGGAAGTGATTGCAATACAGGTTTTAGTGTTTTGTCTCCAATGAAATAAAAATCGCCATCAAAATTTCGGCAGCCATCAAGTCTCCTAACACAAGGTATGGAGCAGACAAGTGGTTTCAAATTAATCTCGTATGGCGACGTAATTTCGCCAAAAAGCTCGTCAAAGTTTAATTAAGCTTTCAATTTTAATGTGACAGACTCCAAAATGTTTGACACAACGCACAATATGGTTCATTTGACACAAAAAGCTACTGGACCTTCTTTATTGGACCAGGTTTTTGTTATTACAAATAAGAGTAAATATAAAATATCAACTAAAATTATGATTAGAAAAACAACTGAAAGTTCTGAATTTTTAGCTAGAAACAATAATAATGACTGAAAATGTGCAATTAAGTCACTTGGCATAAACTGAGAAAAGAATAACTACTAAAATGTTTCGACTGGAATACTAATTAGAGCAATTTTTTATTTTAAAGTTTTTCTTTTCTTTCTACTGAGGGTCAATTTTGCTGAACACTATTTAAAAAGGGATAGAAAATGGTAGTGCTCATCTATATTAATACTTATTATAAATGCCAAAGTAACTCTGTCTGTCTGACGGTCTGCCTGTCTGTCTGTATGTCTCGATTTCACGCCTAAACCACTGAACCGTTTTTGATGAAATTTGACATAGAGATATTTTGAGTCCCGGGAAAGGACATAGGATAGTATTTATCCCGGTTTTTGAATCAGGGACACGTGCTATAAAGTTTTTCTGTGACAGACAAAATTTCACGCGGGCGAAGCCGCGGGCGGAAAGCTAGTAATACTCGTAATAGTATAAGTATAGCTCATTATCATTCACTAACTAAGGCTCATTAGATTTATTAATAGAGCCTGGTGTTGGGAGCATACTCGTATATGGAGAGATTCACCGCCGGCAATTAGCACTCGACCTATCTAAGCGGCAGGTTATTTCAATATCCGACGATGTTCGTATCTGAAGAAATCTGTAAAGTATCTGAACTTTTTATAGAGGAAGGGGTTGTGTCTGAAGGTTGGCAACAATTAACAAACTTTTTAATCACGCTTCTTTTTCTTTTCTGTTTTTTATGTCTACCAGTCACAGTGTCTCGTGCGTACAAAGAAGTAAGGATAAATAGAAGCTTTTGTGGAAGTTGTTTGTTAATAAAACTATGCGAATTTATCGAGGAAAACTATAAAAAAATATACTACAATAAAGAAAACAAACAATTTAAGTGGTTCTTATGATCCTAGATAAATAAGAACCCCTCTTTTTACTTAGAAAATATTTTCAATGTAACAATGTCTTACGGCGGATATATCTAAAATAATAAAACGTCAAAAGGGAATGAGACAAGACAAATGCTGGAACCCCGAGACATGTAAAATGGCTCAGGATAAAAGGGATATTGTATATCATCATTCTTAATATTCGTGGACACTGTTGCGACGTTGAAAGATAAGCAACTAAGTATTTTTAGACCTCATTTAATTACAGTTAGTCCCCATCAGGATTCAGGAATACAAACATGATTTAAACATCTTTGAAAGCTCTAATATAAGTCTTCTATTTTCTGGTTTAATAGTACCAGCTTAAGAATGTTAGAGTCAATGTATGAATGCATGTATATCTGTATGTGCTGAATATGTTAATGCAAATGAATGAATAAATAAATAAATAAGTGTTACAATAATTTCCAAAGTTCCGTTTCACGTTTACGATTGTTTTAAATTACAAATGGCGATGTTTGAGCTTTGGGCAATTAATCACGTTTCCTAAATTTAGTAAAGGTCACGAAGGCAATTAAAAACTTACAATCGTATAATGGTGTAGAACGGAAATGCCCCGTAGAATTCTTTGCCCCACCCTTAGTTATAAAGCTTGATGGCATTCGAAACGTTGGACTGCAATTAAGTAATAACAAAAGGTTAATTATGCTACCATGAAAGGAAATCCATAACTGGCTGGTTTCTTTTATGTTATTTTAATGCAGTGGTATATTGTTAAAAATGGGGAATAAATTCCAAGTGACGTTTTCAACAGAAATATACTCGTATTGCTATGCTACGAGTAACTACTGAGTCAGTAGACTGACTGACCGGCCAAAACTACATAATATTCAGTTGTTACTCACTGAGATGTCAGATATTTCTATAAATAGGTAGGTGCCTATTAACTAAACATCTCCTTTCTGATTTAATTTAATTTTCATCATTGTGGCCCTATCTAACGGTCCTCAACTTAACTCAGAGTTACCATGTACATTGCCTCTAGAAGCGTCTCAATCATCACCGAATATTTTTTCCATCCTCCCTTTGAAAGGCTACTTCGTTAGTTGTATTCTGTCAGATGTAAACTGGGTTCGCTCCAGAGCTTTTTTTTTTCACTTCACTCGTTATTCACTGGAGTTTGTTATTTTGTTATTACATTCCTCGTTCAATTGACTATTTTTTATAGTAATTGCAATCCATCGGTATCAATTTCAAAATCAGTAATTTATCAATAACGTTCGTTCACAGACCTAGGGGTATTTTGTTCTAAAACAAAGAAGCATGATATAAACCTATTTCGAGTTTTAGTATCCACTTCTATCTATTCATACTTCGAGTTACTTTACGATCTTGTTATCCGCCACGAGAAGCAAAATCGTTAGTGCAATTGCAATATTTATCAGCTGGACTAATTAATGTCTTCATAATTTACAGGGCAGCAAATTATTATACTCCCTGAAGCGCTGCAGCGCTCAACCGGTTTAATTACTGTTATGAATTTGTTAACGGGACTCATCTTTTCAGAAACTAAAGTTAAGTGAATTATTATCAAAATATATCCAAAGATCCCGGCCCTGACAGAGAATTTAGGTCAATTAATTATCTGTAAACAATGGTTCTTGCGTAGGTAGCACGAAATGGCAAAATTAACTGTTTAATTAACCAACTGCCAGAGAACTTAATTTCTTTACTGTCGGAGGCCAAGAATCCTGTTCCGTCTTACTTAGTTTTTTTGGTAAACTAGCTGAAATACCTACCTGTTACATAAGAGCTAAAATTGTTTCGAAAAAGTTGAGGATGGAAAAGGGGTAGAACGGTTTATTGATTTTTTGAACTTCCGAATAATAGCATAACGACACACGTACCTTCTACATAACCACAATCTGACACATATTATTCATCGTCAAATCGCCGTACCAAAGTATGACGAACGGAATATTATACATGTAGGTATATTCTAAGTAACAAGACTCGATTCGTATTTGATTCCTTGCTTACAATATTCAA